AAAAAAAAAAAAAACAAACTCGTGATATATCACTTACTTATATACATGAACTCAAAAGAAGGTTTACATTGTTTAGTTTACTGAAAAGATACCTTAGAAAAGTCATTTCCATATTTGGATTATAGAAGTCACAAATTGTTCCTTTGGTTGCAGGAGTAATTCATTGCAGAACACCAATATTCCACACTCAGCATTTATTTCTCCAAAGATAGTAAATGAGAAAGATGTCGAACAAGTAAGTTGTGTAGAAACACAGGACAATCATAACTCAGAAGGAGAGGCAAGAAGTTGCTGTGAAACGTCTGTCAGACAGGACTCTGATTCATCACTCTCAGATAAACAGCGGCAAACCATCATCATTGCTGACTCCCCGAGTCCTGCTGTGAGTGTGATCACTATTAGCAGTGACACCGATGAGGAAGAGGCATCTCCCAGACATTCACTCAGAGAGTAAGTGCCAGATGCGCATGCTCAGGAGGGTTGGCTCTTTGGAGTGCAAGAAGATGCCTTTTGGAAACTTGCTCCTTGTCACTGTTCTTTGGAGCAAAACATTCAAATGAGATAAGATAATCAAATTCTGTGTAGAGAGGACTTACAATATTTGGCATAATTGAGCATTTTGCCTTTATTTGTAAGCTTTAAATTTTGGTCCATGTAGCACATTCTAAGTTTTTTTTTTTTTGTCTTTGAATCAGGACTGTAAATTTTGGCCACTTTGAGAGTATTTCTTCATTTGTGACTTTATTTTTCCCTTCTGTCTTCCACTAGATGCAAAGGTAGTCTAGATTGTGAAGCTTGCCAGAGCACTTTGAATATTGACCGGATGTGTTCGCTAAGTAGTCCTGATAGTACTTTGAGCACCAGCTCCTCAGGGCAGTCTAGCCCATCGCCTTGCAAGAGGCCAAACAGGTAAAAGAATTTCATAATTACACACACACACACACACACACACACACGTAAACTAAACAGCAAGTCTAATGAGGCCATGCTTTCTTTTTGTTGTATGTAAATTAATAAACGTCTGCCAACTTCCTATAGTGCTCCCCCCTCCCCCGCCTTGCTCTCTCTTTCCGGCTCTCTTTTGTTTCTGATCTTGAGGGCTTGAACTTAGGGCCTGGAAACTGTCACTGAACTCACTTGAGCTACAGCTCCACTTCTGGCTTCTTTCTTCTTTCTTTTTCTCCTTCTCTTCCTTTTCCCTCTCCTCATCTCTCCTCCCCCCTCCTCCTCTTCCTCTTGTAATGTCGTTGTCTTTTTTTTTCTTTTTGGTGCCTTTTTTTTGGGGGGGGGTGGGGAGGGTCTGGTCATGGGGCTTGAACTCTGGGCCTGGGCACTGTCCCTCCACTTTTCAGCTCAAGGCTAGCGCTCTACCACTTGAGCCACGGCGCCACTTCCAGCTTTTTTCTTTTTGCTTATGTGGTGCTGAGGAATGGAACCCAGGGCCTCAGGCATGCAAGGCAAGCGCTCTA